CCCCCTTCACATCCTTATTCCTTCCTTCCTTCCATCCTCCCTCCTCTGATTTTACCTTCCTTCCTTCCTTTCACCTTCCTTTCTTCCTTCCCCCTCCTGATTTCACCTTCCTTCCCCCCTCCTTTCACCTTCCTTCCTTCCTTCCTCCCTCCCTCCCTCCCTCCCTCCCTCTCTCCTCTCCTCTTCCTGGAAAAATATTCCTGTCTTCTCTGTCGAGGCCACTCCACCACAAAAAAACTCTCCCCCGTCTTTTTCCTTGAAAGCTGATCTTATTATTTCAACCCAAAGTGAGTTTAAAAAAAAACAAGATTTGGGACTCTGAAAAGAAGCTAAATAGGTCTGGAGTAACCTTGGATTCTTTTGGAAATGAAAAAGTGGTGTTTTCTCTGCCCAGAACCAAGCAGAAACAAATGTACGCACACACACACACACGTCTCTCCTCCCCCAACCCAGAAAAAAAACAAGATTCAGAAATGTGAACCAGGAAACCCGGGGGGGGTTCCCTCTGGACTTGGGGGAGCAGAGAGAGAGGGGGGCTACCAATCTGAGAACTTGGTGCAGTCTGGAGCTGCTGCGTTTTATGCCCGTTACCTTCAACCAAGTCCCTTTGCTTCCCCACAGAAAATGCTCCGAAGCGGGTAGGGAGGCAAAGAGCCAGTCGATATCATGGAGGGGGTTCTCTATCCACTTCCCCCTCACAGCCTTTTAGCAACTATTGCCCAACCTTGCTTTCCCCTCCCTTTAAAACCAGGCTAGGGAAGAAAGCTGGGAGGGGGGAATCTAAGGGGGAGGGAAGAAGAGACCCAGGCAGATCCTCTCTAAATAGCCTCCAGCCCAGATTTCAACTGATTTCCTCTCCAAACCTCCGCCGAACAGAACCCACCGCCTTTTGGGATTCTGGACCGCCGAGCCTTTATTTTCCCCATTTATTGGTGGAAATTGGATTTTTATTGGGTCTTCCCCCCACCCGCCAAAAGGAAAGCCAGCTAGGTTTCTGCTCCAAGCCCCCTACCCTTCCCCCTGCTCCCTTCTCAATCCCACTTCAGGACAGAGGAGCGTGCGCTGGAAACACGTATTGGGGCAACATCAGAGCGCACCCTCTGATCCTCCAGTGCTCAGCCCGCAATTCTCTGCGCTCCTCCATGCCCGGCTTGCTGAGGAGGAGGGGGAGAAGCCCTGACGTCTCCACTTTCCACCCCCTGGCCTCAGCCATTGCTGGCTGGCTTCCTCAAAGGCATGGCGCATTTCAAAGGTGGCAGCTTGTGTTTGGAGGTGTCAAAGAATGTGCTGCTGCAAGAGCTGGGCCAGGCCTCTCCGCCATCCAATTTGCCAATGGGGGCGCTTCTGCCAAGCCAGCCTCCCACCCCCCGTGGGTTTTTGTGCTCGGTACTTGGCCAGGGAAGGGGAGCGCTTCCCTACTCCTCCCCTGTCTTTCTCTTGGCCCCGCCGATAAGGGAAGAGGTAGGCCAGGCTTGGGGGATGGCCCCCACCCCACAAGATCCACCCCTGCCATTCTTTCCCAGCCCTCTTTGCTGGCAGCAACAGCAAATGTATCATAACGAAGGCAGAATCCTGTTGCCGTGCAAAGGCAAGTACAGGAGTGCTTCGCTCCCGCACTAAGGCAACAGGGCAACAGTTCTTTCATCCCTCTGCTGCAACAGGGCCACAGGGAGCCACAGCAGAGGGGTGAAAGAGCCGCATGCGGCTCTGGGGCCGCAGTTTGCCGACACCCGATCTAAGCTATCATGCTAGGTTAAAAGTATAGGAAACGAAATGATAATAATTTTCTTTTTAATCAAAGATTGAAGAAAACTACAATTCAGAATGTTAAAGATCATTATAGTACTAGAAAAATATTACATACTGCATACAAACTGAATGAAATGCCTAAGAAACTGACATACAGAGTTGAAACAAAGAAACTTGACACAAGTAGCTAGAAACTGTTCAACTGTGAATCCTAATCTACCTTCCATGGAGCAAATGCCTCAAGGTCTTGAATATCAGCCATAAAGCATACTAGTATCTCTATGAGATCATCATATTGCTGAATTTGTATTATATATGATTCTTCACTCTCTTGGGTTTTATAACTTTTTAAGTCAAAATTTATCTCTATTCTCTTTGGGGGACGAGAGGGGAAGAAGTAATTGTATTTGCTTTTAGCAATAAAGTATAAAAGTCTACTTCGCATTAATTCCCTCAAGTGGTCTCTCGTATATGCCTTTAAAACATGCAGAATCTTCATACTATTTATTACAGAAGAAATATGTAAGATTGCTATATTTGTTCAAAACTGGAATCTTACCAATTTCTTCTCTAATTAGTTGAAATTCTTTAAAAATATTCTTTTTAAAAAAATATTTCTATGATGTTAATATTATTTTTAATAATATTAAAAATATTTCTATGATGTTACTGATATATTAACATGATTAAACCCTCCAAAATAAAGTCACAAGCAAACATACAGACCGCAATAGTGCCATAGTCTTTAAAGAAAACCATAATAAATTAGCTGTTAAAAGAGTTTTAATTAATATTTGTTGATGTTTGTGAACTTCAGTATGGTACCACAAGACTAAATAATAAATTACTCCAATCTAAGGAGTTTGGGTGGGATTTCATCCTGAGAAGCTCCACTGCAGACACAAATCCATTGTAAGATTTCAATTCACTATGTTTAACACTGCATATGTGTTTCAACATCAGCTTGTATTGCCTTCAGGTGCCTATAAATTCCTCTGTCTTTGTATAGCACTTGTCTATCAGACCGTGTCATCAGTATTACTGGAGGCAAAGTCAGCCACACCTCTTCCTGAGACATAGGAAACACAACAATTATCACAGTCACTACTTCTTTATTGTTTCATATCGGTTCATCACTAGCTATTTATCACCCATGCTTACTATAGAAATTACAAGCTTTCCTGGATGTTTGTTGGTTTTAAGCAATGTTTTAATATTTCTTAATGATACGAAGCAAACTCAAACCCAGTTGGAGTATCCACTGTCAAAATGTGTACTATATTAATCATTAAGGAGTTCCAATACAGTTTTCCAATAAATATTGGACATAATACAAACTTCAATTACAGACCAACATTTCCTGTTCATTTCTAAGAAACAAAATATTCAACTTATGTACAAATATTTGCTGGTTTAGAGCAAAGACATCACTTCTAACTAAGCAAAGAAATTACTACTTCTTCTCAATAATGTTAGGAAAGTCCTGTTGCAAATAATACCACTGAAGCACCAAAACAAAAAACAACAACCTCAATTTGCATATTTACAAACTCTCCATAAAAGAATGGAAACTGTTGAACTAACATGGTATGAACTTCAGCCACATTTTCATTCCAAAAATAACTTGATTTCATCTTGCTTAATGAAAAGGATTATCAGTATATTGTATAACAGAGACATGAAAGGAGCCCCCTTTGCATCCCCTGGGTAATGAGAATGTCACCACCTAATCCTTTCAACCTGGAAGTGCTTTGAAAGGTGCTTCTGACACAAATATAGTAATAGTATATTGTAAACTAGCTGGTCCAATATGTACATATTATACTAGGTTATGTATAAACATTGAGTTTAAATCTGTGCTTAATACCAGTGGTCCTCATTTAATGATTCATTGTGTTCAGTGCTGAATGAATGGTACTTGACAACCAATCATTACAGTTTAGGTGTCTCAGGGCCCCCATGGTTACAGGATTGCAATTTGATCACTCAGCAACTGGCCCACAATTACAACATTGCTGCATCCCACAGTAAACATGATCACATGTTTACTGCAGCTGACCTTTGCAGCTGGTTTCTCACACACAAAGTCATGGAGAAACCGGCAGGAAATTATGGGAATCATTAAGTCCTGACTAAATGATTCCAATAATTCTCATTTACTGTCAGCAATTGGGACTGCTGGAACTACTGTTGCTAACAGTACAGTCGTGTGACATTGCATTTAACAACCACGCCATGTAATGATGGAGATTCCTATCCCAATTGTCAACACTAATTAAGGGCTATCTGTATGTCACTTCTATCAGTTTCATTGGTTAACTCCTTTTAATTTCAACTACTAAACTACTGTGAAAAGTTCACAAGTGGTTATGCTTGATTGAAAAGCTGGTAAACAAACTTCCCACTTTTAAGAAGGGGATAATCATACTCAGTTCAAATGGAACAATTTTTGGCAATTCTAACATTTTTAAATATACCTTGACACTTCCACATATCAAGAAAAGATAGAAAGATTAACCATTAGTGAATGCAGATGCCCACTTCTAAGAAAAGTTGTTTTTCTATGGATTTTAAGAATCTGTAAAAGCATCCTGAAAAGTCATTGTAACCATTGATCTTGATGCCACTATTGTTGGAAAAGCCACCTGCTTAATGAGCAGAAATCAAACAACAAAGATATAATATGGCAGGCCTAATAAAGTCTAAAATTAACCTTTTCTCAGGATGGGCACTTTAATTCCATCTAATTAAGAACTCACCAGCCACCTATAAATCTAACTAACAATGTTTCTATAATCCTATATAAACAAAGTGCAACTACCTCTGACAGAGACACAAAACATCATTAAGCATTTTTAGCATTCCAGCAATTGGATTTTTTTCTCCCATCTCTAGCAACATCCAACATTTTTCCTAACTCTATTCTTTCTCCTAGTATTCCATCTCACCTAAATATGCACTTAAATAAATCTATATGTTTTATTTTCCCATGCCATTGCCTTTCTCTCTACCAAAGCTTTGATATGGTTACCTAAAAGGAAGAAATGATAAACCAATTAGAATAAAATGTGGGAGCGGCTTGGTAGCTACTTCCAAAACTACTGACATGTATTTCTCCATCCCATTATTAAACATAAATCTTCTTTCCCTTTACAATCTCATTTATAATCTCAACTTAAACAGAAATTAATTTAGTAGTAGTAAGTAGAACACAACCTATTGTGAAAATATTTAACTACCACTCATAATAACTTGCCTGCTTGATACTCATCCTCACTGAATCATACTGAAAAGAGAAGAGGAAGGAATAGCTGAAAGAGGCTATAGTGGTTCATTTCCACATGTGTAAAGCTACATCTATGTCTTTCTATATTCAGGATAATGTGTTGGAATTAGTTATGACAAGCTACCTAAGAATATTTTTTATTTTAATATGATTTTTATTGAAGTTTTTAAAAAGATAAAATTGATATGAACTAATTTAAAGTAAGGAAGTAAAGAAAAAGCAAAAATTTGAGGAAAAAGAAGAAAAAATTAAGAAAAAGAAAAGAGATAGAAAAGAAGTGGCTTCTGATGTTCTTACAGCAGTTATAAAAACAATTACATTTTAATCTTCACATTTAAACCAATATAAAGAATAACCAATAATCAGTAGCAGATTTCTGCTACTGCCAGTTCCCATATTATGATTAGATAATACAAGTGGCAAAAATATTGAGAAAATAAAGTATAATGAATATTTCTAACATGTACCTTTATTAGTGTACTTTTCCACGACTAATCAAAACTTAAGAGATATGTAATAATAATAATAATAATAACAACTTTATTGTCATTTTACATGTATACACAGTATACCCATAAATGAAATTCACTTAACACCCAATCAAATCAAATCAAATTATATTTCTAGGCTATGTTCCAGTAATTCTCATGCCACAACAATAATATATGAAACTGCTATGCTGCAATTTTAAAGATTCTAGTGTTTTACTATCAGAATCTTGAGAAGAGGGGTTTTTTTTGCACTTGAATCAGAAGTACCAAAGTGCTTCAGGGTTGAAAAGATTAGTTGATGGTGTTACCATTGCCTTGGGGACACCCAGTTGGGGTCTTGTTTCATGTCCTGGGCAGGAGCTGGAGTGAAAGATGAGAGTTCAACCCCACCCCACAGCAGCTCTCAGGTCTCGAAGGGAGGCTTGCTAACCTCCTGCCCAGTATTTCAACCAGTCAAGGCACCATGCTCCTTTGAGAACAGGTTATGGGTGCTCCTATTGGGGATACTATGCAGGGAGATTGTCTATTTGCATATTAGTCACCATAGTAGATACCAGAAGATAAATGGACGATGCCACCCCTCCACTTCTCCCTTTCTCCTCATAGCCAGAGTTATCTACTGCTATGTTTTCTAGAAAAAAACCAACTTATTTCCAAATAAAGCACAAGGCTGCAGTCACCTATTATTTTTATTTTCTAATAACGTTCACAGGGCCTATATGGGATTTACTTTCAAACAAATATGCTGTTAATTGTACTTCTGCTTTGTAGTATGCCAGCTTCCTATTATTGTTGTTACACAAATTAATTAAATAGAGAATCAGGTAATAAGAGGAGTTATATTGTCTCAAAAAAGTCATAAAGCATAACTTTGGCAGTCCCTGTTCTAACTATTACATCACATTACTATTATAAAACAAAATGAAATTTAGTTCAAAACATATATGCTTAGTTAATCTAGAATTAAAAAATATTGGTGTACTGAAAAGACATTCTGTTTTGTTTAACCATTTTTAACTTTTCTGCTATAGAAATATCCATAGCCTCTATAGTCTAGGAATGTGTTTGATGTACGTGTGTGTGTGTGTGTGTGTGTGTGTGTGTGCGCGCGCGCGCACTCGTGCATACATGTGTGTGTGTGTGTGTCTATATACCGTGTGTGTGTGTGTGTGTGTGTGTGTGTGTGTGTGTGTGTGTGTGTATATGTGCATATTCTTTCTAGCCAGGTTTTACCTACGTAAACTAAGTTGTTCTACAGCCCTGGTTCTGTGAAATCTCATTCACAAGTTTCTGGGCCTTTTTTCTGCTGACAAACTGCAACTCTGTGTTGCTCTCTGGGAGACTCAGATAGCTATTTCTGCCTATTAAGGCGTCATCAGTGAGCCACACCCACTTCTCAGATATCCTCCCTGTAAAGGTACAATGTGTCTTTTTTCTTTTTCGTAGGCTTTTATGTGCATATTCTTTCTAGCCAGGTTTTACCTACGTAAACTAGTTGTTCTACAGCCCTGGTTCTGTGAAATCTCATTCACAAGTTTCTGGGCCTTTTTTCTGCTGACAAACTGCAACTCTGTCTTGCTCTCTGGGAGACTCAGATAGCTATTTCTGTCTATTAAGGCATCATCAGTGAGCCTCAGATTTCACAGAACCAGGGCTGTAGAACAACTTATTTTACGTAGGTAAAACCTGGCTAGAAAGAATATGCACATAAAAGCCTACGAAAAAGGAAAAAAGACACATTGTATCTTTACAGGGAGGATATCTGAGAAGTGGGTGTGGCTCACTGATGACGCCTTAATAGGCAGAAATAGGTATCTGAGTCTCCCAGAGAGCAACACAGAGTTGCAGTTTGTCAGCAGAAAAAAGGCCCAGAAACTTGTGAATGAGATTTCACAGAATCAGGGCTGTAGAACAACTTAGTTTACGTAGGTAAAACCTGGCTAGAAAGAATATGCACATAAAAGCCTACGAAAAAGGAAAAAAGACATATATGTTTGTTCTTTTATGCAGTTCAAAGCAATACAAGAATTCCCATAATATAGTTCTTGTCTTCAGATTCTTTGTAACACTTTTCTGAGAGTAATGCACTGAGATCCAAGGAATCTCTTTCTATTAATTTATAATTTTAAAGGGAATAATTATCATAAAGCACAACTGATAAAACTAAAGTACATAAAAATGACTATCAATTCCAAATTAAAAGATTGTTAAAATTAAATCTATCATTACAAAGAAATTGTTTTCTAAACATATGATTTCAAAACTTTTTTAAAAATATCTATACTTTTTTTACTGGAAAACTAACAGGAAAAACTAACTTTTTAAATTTCCCTTCAAGTAAAGAATCTGTTCTTAAATCACATCTATCATTTAAAACATACATAAGAAAGAGAGGCCACATCTTTCTAATTATGGACCTTGATAATTACCTGGTGGTTAGTAGCAGATCCATTCTCAATACATCTTCCTGTGTCTCTCCCTTGATAATGTAATCTAATCTCTTGGCTATGCTTTCATCTGGCACCCAGTACTGAATGCTGTTTATAAAACAACAACCTCATCCTGGGTAATGACAGAACAAAGACAGCTTTTGTAATAATGCAGCATTTACTACTTCAAAAGTAGCTAAGTTGGTATAATTTAGGTTGTCGGCTTTTCTTTTCTTCTTCTTTTTTTTCTTTTAGTTTTTGAGTAGGAGACCTGATCTTCATTGAGCCCTTTGCTATACAGGATTTACCATACTGTGGTGCAAATTATTAATTATGTCAGTTAAAGGTATAAGAGGAAAGAAATTAAAAGGTACAAATATTAAAATCTCTATATAGCATTTGTAAATAATTTATATTGCATGATTTTTAATTTTTAGAATTTTTATTGATGTAATTTTTCATTATTCAGTCATCACTGTGGCAAGAAAAAGTGACAAATACAAATACATATTAAATAATCATAAATTTCTTATTTGATTAGCTAGCAAACAAGAAACAAAAGTGTAATTCTTTTTCTGACCTAGTTAAGATACTAAACCAATGACAAACAAGCATTGGTTTGCCCAATGTATGAAACAAGCAGCATACTAAATAAGGCTGTTGTTGTCACGAACTCATGCCCGCCCCATTGCAACCCTGTGGACAACATTCCTCCAGGCCTTCCTGTCCTCTACCATCCCCAACCCCCGTAGTCCATTTAAACTCACACCAACTGCTTCAGTGACTCCATCCAGCCACCTCATTCTCTGTCATCCCCTTCTTCTTTTGCCCTCAATCGTTCCCAGCATTAGGCTCTTCTCCAGTGAGTCCTTCCTTCTCATTAGCCTCATAAATAAGGCTGTTAGGTTTCATTATTCACATCGGATAATATGAATAACAAAAATTACTAAATAAATTCTTATAAATCAAAATATTGTTATTCGGTTATTGTACTTGTTGTCACAATCCCAAGAATATTGGTGTTTACATACAATAAAACTTCCATATTAAGATTGCATAATTATAGTGTGATAAGACCAGATATGTAATAGTTATCTATTCTAGATATCATGCATTATCATGCCCTCTGGTAGTTTCTAGAAAAGCCAAACAATTGGAGCCAATTTCCATTAAAGAAGGAAGTTATTTCATATCATAAATAGCATGAACCTCTCTATCATATATGCACCTTGTGGGAGAAAAGCACAAACAGCAGTTTTTCTCATGATAAATAAGCATAGCAGGTAGATTCTGGCTGAAGATGATCCTGAACATATTTTGTTGCCAAGCAGCCATCATCTTGAATTTTAGTCAAAAGCTAACTGAAATCCTGTGCAGAGTTTACAGCACAGGTATAATAATATATTTTGAATTAATTTTGAATTACAACCATTCATTTAGAAGCCATTCCATTTAAGTTTGGAATGTACAGAGAAAAATGGGAATTCCAGAACATCCCATTGTTCTCATGAGAAGCCTATGCACATTACCTATATGCTAAATGTATACTGAGGGAAACTGGATTGGAAGATGATGTGATTTTAAAACTGGAGGAAGAATTATCAGTGACCAGTGAACACAATTCTAATAGCTGAAAATGCCAGCTATAGTGATGAAAGCCAAGGAGCATAGTGAAAAAATAGAATTAAGGTTAAACATAAAGGCAACCAAACTAATAAAAGTAAATACAGTAATGGCCTTAGAACCAACAATGAAAATATTGAAGTGATGAATTGTTTCTACCAATTAGGACTGACTGAAGGAAATATTAGTCAATGAATACGAAGACTTTCATTTGGTGTAGTAGTCATAAAGGTATTAGAAAGCAATCAGTTTGGTGTAGTAGTTAAGATGTTGGCCTAGAAACCAGGAGACAGTGAGTTCTAGTCCTGCCTTAGGCATGAAAGATTGGCTGGGTGTCTTTGAGCTAGTCACTCTCTCTCTCTCTCAGCCAACTCACCACACAATATTGTTGTAGTGGGGAAAATAGAAGGCAGGAATATTAGAAATGTTCATATTTTTAAAAAGCTAGATAAAAATCTAATAATAATATTCAGGTATTGGGATATGTCTATATCTACAGTCAAAGAATTTTGGTATTGGAGAATAACATGGACAGCCAAGAAACCAAATCCAAAGTTCTCACTTGTGGCATAAATGATCAGGCTAAAATTAATCTTATTTTGGAAATATTATGCAGCTATACTGGAGCATTCTTGCTAATTCTGGGAAATATGGAAGGAAATAGAAAATGTCCTGCAGCAAAATGAAGGGATTTAGTGACAGCACATTGATGCTCTATTGTAATACAGGTAGTCCTCGACTTACAACAGTTCATTGAGTGACCGTTCAGTTACAACAACACTGAAAAAAGTGTTGTTCCCCATCATCCAGGACTGCTGGTGGATTAGTAACATTTGTCCACAACTTCTCCCTCCGCAGGTACATCTCCATCTTCACATTCCAGGAGAGGTAATTAGTCTCATTCAGCTGAGACACCAGGAAACCTCTTCCCATTACACCGACGGAAGCCATACTGCCTGCTAACCACAATTTAAACCACTTACTCTGGTGCCAGCTCACAATGGGATTCTCTTCTCTCTAGGCTCTCTAGTTACTCTGGCCCTCTCTCTGGACTGGGCCCATAACCTGTCAGAGTTTTGCAGAGTGACTAGTATTATGAGATAAACCCAGGAGCAAAACACAGCACACAGAGCCTTTAAATAATTAACAGTGGTTTTATATACAACTAAATATATACAGACATGTACGTGGTAGATACTTTATCATACAGCTATGGACACAAGAAGAGCAATGAGATACACGACGAGAGAAAGCTACACCTTCTAATGGTCACCTATATATAGACACCTCTTAAAAGGGTAGAAGTCTTGTGTGGACCCCACCAGAGTCTTAAACTGGCGATGCCAGATCCTGAATCATTCCCATTGCATCAGCTTTCAATTGCCTCTGCTTACAACCCTCCATCAGTTTACAGCTATTAAATCTACATTCCCTGACAGACTTATGACCATTTTTCACATTTATGACCTTTGTAGCATCCTCATGCTCATGTGATGAGAGTTCAGGTACTTGGCAACTGGTTTATACTTATGATCCCAGGGTCATGTGATCACCTTTTGCAACCTTTTGACTAGCAAAATCAATGGGGAAGCCAGATTCACTTAACAACCGGGTTACTAACTTATCAACTGCAGTGATTCACTTAATAACTGTGGCAAGAAGGGTCATAAAATAGAGCAAAACTCATGTATCAAATGCAACAGACTTTATCGACTTAGCAACAAACATTTTGGGCTCAATTGTGGTCGTAAGTCAAGGACTACCTGTATTAGAAGAACCAGATTGGGGACAGATCTTCCTGAAGACATTCTATCTATTTGATCACCAACAGTCAACACTGATTTGGTGGGATAATCAAATGAATACTGGAGAAAGAGACCTCCCTCTAAAAACAAAGGGACTATAAATAGTCCATATCTTTTAAGATATTTTACCAAATAAATACACAATACCAAAAGATGGAGAATTCCTACTCCCTTTGAAACATATGCAAATGTCTATCAATGCACAGATAAAGCACTGATAGGCACTTATTTTGGAAATAAAGCAATACTTACAATCAGCTTTATTTCACAGTGTCAACGAAACAATTGAGAAGCTTAAGACTATTAATTTTACTATTGTAAGATATAAAATGTTGCTTGTATCATCTGTTTTTAAATCCCCGCAATTCATAATTCTCTTAGGCAGCTTGAAGAAAAAGACAGTTAATTCCTCCTTCTCTATTACCCCAAGTTCTGTGAGGAAGTTGTTATGACATAGAACAGATGTGAAATGTTGACTCAATTAAAATGCATAACTTCCATGAAATGCTTGTCACAAAGAAGTCCATTTATATTGTTTTCTGTCATGAAGATTGGCAGGAAGTTAAAGGAACCATGCCACATGCAATTAATTGAGCACTTTGCATCAAATATTCTTTGTGCTCCTTGAATGCAAAGAGAATACATGTGCACAGTATTTTGCCATTTCTTCTCTCTCTCTCTCTTTCTGTCAGAGATGAAAATGATGATTAGGAAATCACAAAAGAAAACAAAAGACTATAGAGATGTGGGTGATACATTTTAGTTATGAATAATACCTGAAACAAATGTTTGCAATTGTGGGGATAAATTTACAAATGGAATTTACATTTGGGATATAATCTTGAGTGTTTTAAACAGAAGAATGATTTAAGTAGTATCTTAAATAAACTTGCTGTGCATAAACCATCCTTGCCAGTATAGTCACACTAGATCCACAAATGAAATTTATGGGGAAATAGTGGCCTTTTGGTGATTTTGCCTCATTTGTGACATTTCCAAGATTATTTATCAACAAGAAAATACATTTTTGTTTCTTCATGCTTTTAAAAATGAAATTTATAGACACACATTACAGATACAGAAAGAGAGAAAGAGAGAGAGAACTGTTATATTAAAGGATTGTTTTCATTGAATTAACTCCATTTTTAGTTGAACCATTAAAATTTTGAATATGATTAAGCAAAAAAATTAATGAATGGTAATACACAATTAATTACAGTATAAGTTTTTTATTTACTTACTGGTTCTCTTACACCAGTTGCAACTTACTGGAAGTTTAGTTATCTTTCCAAATTCATACCAGTATTTACAGGTGGCATAAAGGACACCTTTATTGGTTTCAATATGAATTACGTAGATGTCCTGCATTTCCATTATTCTTTTTCATTGGTGGACATTCAATATTTTAGTACAGGTAGTCCTCGACTTACAACAGTTCCATTTAGTGATCGTTCAAAATTACAACAGCCCTGAAAAAGTGACCGGTTTTGACCAGTTTTCACACTTATGACCACTGCAGCATCCCCATGATCACGTCATTAAAATCCAGCCACTTGACAACTGACTCATATTTATGACAGTGGCAGTGTCCTGGGTCATGTGATCATTTTTTGTAACCTTCTGACAACCCAAGTCAATGGGAAAGCCAGATACACTTAATAACTGCAGTGATTAACAACTGTGACAAGAAAGGTGGTAAGATGGGGCAAAACTCACTTAACAAATGTCTCACTTAGCAACAGAAATTTTGGGCTCCTTTGTGGTTGTAAGTCGAGAAATACCTGTAGTATGAGGGGAAATAATTTTATTTGTTTATTCTGTATCATGCACAGTTATACATTTATGCCCCAGTACTTAATTTTTTTTTCCTTAAGCTATAAAGGGGTATGCAGCACTTCAGACACAAACACCAAAAGTTATTCCAAAGCATGTAGGGGCATGAATGTCATATGTGATTACAACTCCATAAAGAAGACTTGACTTTTCCTTGGATTGATAAATTTATAGTATGGGGGAGCCAGAAAGAGTGAAAAATGATGAAAAAATAGAAGAATATCAAAGATAATTAAAATGGTGCTACTGCATCCAGTAATAAAGTGTTCCGCATGCTGATACAGTATATCTCTAATTTCTATTTCACTTTTATATTGTGCTCAAATAAATCCAACCATACTTTTAACAAGATAATTAGTGATTACAAGATAAAGAATTTGCAATTGCATGTTACTGTTTTCATAATTAGCAACAGAAGTAAAGGTAAATGTTATAGAACATATTTTCATTTCATTTTAATTCAACATTGCTTATGTTTTTCTGAGTAATGTAAGATATGTTATCTTACATTACTTAAATGAATGAAATGAATATACATATTTTGGCCTGTTTTGAGCTGAGATGCCTGCAACTAGGAATATAATACTATAAGACAGCTTTGAAAAGATAGGAAACTATTGAATGAATAGGAAAAAAGTAGGCATTAAGTTATTATTCTGTGGGTTTTTTAATCAGAAAGTCTCAGATCATCTACATGCTGTTCCTTCAAATACCCAGTTACAGTCCTGTTATTTTCAGTGCACTGATCCTATACTTGGTCTACCCTAATCTATTTATTTCCCAAGTATTTACATTCTAAACAAACAATTAGTCCAAGCACCTCCATTTTTTATTCAAGTCAAATATTTTTATTCACACCATTAAAACAATTCATTGCAGTTTCTTAAAACCTAACCCAGTGAAAAAAGAACTCAAGTCATGTTCTAAATGAATGACATTTAGCCATAGTTAAAGATCAAGTTTAAAAGGTATATTAGTAGAGCTGCAGGTGTGAAATGCAATCTGAGTGACAATTGAGTTAAGAACTGGAGAAAGCACATAAAGTACTAATGACAAAAGAATCTCAGGGGGTTTGCTTTCGGGAGTGGTTTGTAATAAGATAACTATTACAGGTAGCCCTTGAGTTAAGACCATAATGGAGCCTGCCCATTAGGGTCAGAAGTCAAAACAAATGATAAATGTCTCAAGTAACGACCAGTTAATTCTGTTCTCCTCAATGCATTCATTAAACGAATGTGCAGATCGTTAAACAGAGCTCAGGGATGGGGAAAATTCTAGGGGGGCTAGAGCAGGCACAAGCCCACCTGTCTCGGACCTCCCAAGCCTTTCCCCATTCTGAGATATCCCCTGGTCTGCTTCCCATCCCTTGGATGGCTTTCATATGTGCCCACCACACAGCTGAGTGTCTTGCTAGGGAGAAACAATGGGAAAGAAAAATACTGGGCACGCTTGTCTTTCCTGTTTCTGCCGCTCCTTCCTCCTACCCAAGGTGCCCCTGTCTTTCTGGGGCAAAAAACAAGACCAGTTCCTTATCCTTTCAGAGCTTTCTTTGATCAGCTGGCCATCGGGAGAATGCAAACCTCTTCCTGGCTCTTGCTAGGCTTTGGAAAACCAGAACCCACCTGCTAAGGCAGCAGCTTTGGGACGCGCTTCCCGAAATCTCTCCCTTGCTTTAACCTCCTCCCTATTCCAGAAAGCCACATTTCTTCAATTAACAAAATAAAAAAAAAGTGTGGAAGGAGAGTCTTGTTGATCTTTCTCCCCCTTCCCTCATTAAGTGTTAAAACTAAACTCCCTGCATCTACTCTCCAATGTCTATCCCTTTTAAAAACTTTATTTTGACTTCAGGCTGAAGAACAGAATAAAGGCAATAAGCAAGCAAAGAAAATCTTTCTGCAGCTTTTTTCCTGAAGGAGCTGAAGAAGAAAAAATCAGTGCTCAAAAAGTTTAGCTACTAAAGCACGACATGTGCAAACCGGACAGAAACGAGGTCCTTGAAAAGCTTTTTGCTATTCAACTGACTGCCTTTAAGAATCAGCTAGGACTTGCCTTTAGAGTCCTAGCTGGGTCCTAAAGGCAGTCAGTCGAATAGCAAAAAACTTTTAGAGATGTCCTAGCTGGCTGCTTGCCAAGTTGTGTGGAGTTTTTTTAGTTTGTTTGTTTTTTTGCTGCAGAAAGATTTTCTTTGCTTGCTTCATTCCCTTCCTTTACTCTTCAGCCTGGAGTTAAGGTAAGTAACTTACAGATTTTGTCATCAATTTAGCAAATCAAGTTGTTAAAAGAGATAGAGATAGGAGGGCAGAGGCAGGGAGTTTAGTTTCAGCACCTGATTGGGGAGGGGGAGGATCTGTGTTATTTGTTCTTTTCTTCAGTGTACATTGTTATATTAAAAATATTCATAAATTTTAAGGGAAATATTTGTATTTTCTCTCTAAAAAGACAAAAAGACATAGTTCAAATATTTAACTTGGGTCTTCCTCAAAATTTAATTATAACAAATATTGTAAAATTAAGTTTCACAGATGCATGTTGTAGTGCAATCCACTATTTTTACAGGCCTAATAAAATAAAATAAAAATATAAACCTAATAAAAAGTACAATTTATATATTGACACCCAAAGACAAAATAGACTGTTCTACCACAGCTTAACAAAGACAAAATTAGAATCACTCTTAAAATAAAAAATATTTTCCTACATGTTAATATTTCCAAAATATTTTGACACCAGTATTTGGAAATTGCTCTCCAGAGGGATGTTGATCTAACACTAAAACTCTTAATTCAAGAGTTCAGA